CTATCGAATCAACTGAAAGATATAAACCCCGTGTGCAGGTGATGAAGTATATTGTTGCATAAGTAAGGGAAGTTGATGATTGTAAAGTTAAAGTCATCACGTTTACTTTAAAGCTTTGTTGTTAGATTACCATTAAGGTCTTTTTCTAGTAAAATATCCAAATATGAAACAGTTGTGTCAGAATCTGTGGTATCTTTAATTTCAAGCTCACTGGGATATATTGTATCGACATAAGAATGGAAATAAACATTGTTAATTGATAATACGTCGTCGATATATCTAAATGTCGAGTTGAAGGCCACAGCAAGTTTTTTTTCCCTTTTTCACGTATAAGATTTTGAACAAATTCTGCTTCATATGAATACAAAAATAGGTCTGCTAATAACGGGGCGCAATTGGTACCCATGGAAATTCCAATAGATTGTTAGAGAATCTGGTCTCCAAAAACCACATAGATATTGTCATTCAGAAACTCAAGCATCTTTTTAATATCAACTTCAGAGTAATTGTGTGTACAATCAGAATGCTTCTTAACAAAATAATTTTGCAAATCACTAATAACAAGGTAAGAAAATTAACGAGTTCCATTCCTATTGAATAAGCAGCTGTTAATGATATCAAAAAGCCTGGGCTTCAATTTATCGTGGGAAATGGTTGTAATATAAAGTTGAAAAATCGTAAGTTTTGATGTTGTTGATTATGGTAAAAAAAAAAATTAATTTAAATTTTCCAAATGTATCAAGTTTTATTTAGATCAGACAAAACTATTGGAGGATTTTGCAGTAATTCAGAGAGATTCTTCTATTTGGGATCCACTGACAACGCTTGTACCCTTCATCGATAAAAATGTGTACTTATATATAACCTATAAATAGTACTAAGCTTTGTTCGATTCCGACATAAACTGTAAAAAGGATAAACATTTCAAAAAATAAATAATTTAAAAAATGATAATAAAAAATAGAAAAAACATTATTCTTTTCAAAGTAAAGCATCAGCAGCATTCGTCAAAATTTAAATTTTTACATCTCTGACAAAATTCTTCCTTTTTTCATGTATCATATAATTATTTATAGAAGTACAGTCTAGCTACAGCTTGGATAAAGAAACTATTTGGACCTATTTTAACGATTGTCTGGCTACAAAACAAAAAGAAAAAAAGGATGTACTTTTGCAGAGCATCAACAGAGTAGGATTAAAGTATAGAATACTGTTATGTTACTAAATCAGAGATCTCCTAGAGGTTTATTTTTGATAGACCCTATGTATCGAGTTTCACGATTTATTCAGATAGACGAAAAAGTCCAATCTTCTACACATTTTAAGTAAAATGTGAGAAGAATTAAAAGAGTTTCATTTTGCTTCTGTTTTGCAGCAAATTGACGAAACAATCACATTTTATGCTAAATATGTCATTCACAAATTATAATTGTATTTTTTGCAAATAATCCAAAAATGGCGTGATAGGTCAGAAGTATTTGTGATGATACAACAATACTGAAATCGATTAGTTTATTTGGTAAAATTGGCCGCTCTTAGGATCGGAGTAAGCCTGCTGGCAGCCATTACTATTTTTTCCCAGAATGAAAAATCATGAAACTTGATCGGAAGTTCAAACTGACATTGAGGTATCAAGGTACAGAAATAGAGGCGGATCAAGATTTAAAAAAAAAAACATTACACAAGTGAGGACAAGCATGAATTAAGTTACAGAACTAAAGTGTCAGAAAACGATTAAGTCAAATACCAGTGGGGACATGGGGTGAATTAAGCTACAGAAATGAGGAGTCAGAAAAAGATCAAGACAACAAAACATTACACCACCAGTGAGGACAAGGGATGAATCAAGTTACGGAAGTGAGGAGTAAGAAAAAGATCAAGACAACAAAAATTACAAAACCAGTGAGGACAGGGGTGAATCAAGTTACGGAAGTGAGGAGTTAGAAAAAGATCAAGACAACAAAAATTACAAAACCAGTGAGGACAGGGGTGAATCAAGTTACAGAAATGTGGAGTAAGAAAAGGATCAAGATTACAAAACATTACAAAACCAGTGAGGACGGGGGATGAATCAAGTTACCGAAGTGAGGAGTCAGAAAAATTACAAAATTAAAAGATTACACAAGTGAGGACAGGGGATGAATCATGTTACACAAATGAGGAGTCTGAAAGCGATCAAGATAACAAAACGTTACGTCAGTGAGGACAACGAGAATAATAATGATAAAAAAACAGGAAATATCCAGTTTATGTTTGTTGTAATTCATTTTATTATTAAAAGTTCCTACAAAGTTTACTGAGATACAATGTGTACATTTGCGTGCATACATATCAACAAGATGAAGTCTATCCGTTATACTGACAAACGATCAGTAGAAACCAATGAATGAAGCTGCAGTGATTGATGATTGGCGGCTTGTCGACATAATTTGATAATTAAGAGGCACTTCTTGCCTATAGCATGATAGGTGGCAATAAAGTTTTTAGCATGTTAAACTTCATATCCTGCACAATAGCAAATATCCTAAAGTTAGCATGTCAATTACTTTTAAAATATGACCCTCCCATGGTTAGGGGGCATTTCATTGACAAACCAAAAATGAATTCGTCAAAAATAAATAAAAAATTCTTCTGTGAATTATCTTACTGTTATAATTCACTTAAGCGAATTAATGAATAAATCAACAGCAATATTCTCTGTTTTAGAAAAAGTAATAGACACAAATAACGATGTTGAACCTAGAACGTTAGTTATTGTTCGTAAGACCTCATTATAGAAGATAGAAAAAATAAGCGTCTATTATAAAGAAGATGCTTCGTCTTAAACTGGGGAGGAAAAAAAATCAGTGGACAATAGATTAAGCTTCTGGAAAGCGAAGCCACGAACGAAAACTGCCCAGAGCAGCTAACGAGTTTAAGTGGACCATACATCAATCTTTTGGGTCCTCCGATATGCTTAGAAGATGAAGATTAGTGAATTACTCAATAAACCTCAGGAGCCTTATTTGTGTCAAGAGAATTCTTTATTGGGCCATGTCAAGCACTGTAACAAAGATAAAATGACTTTCTCTCAAGATCACTGTAATTTAGACTCCAAATCTCCTAACGAGATTTTCAACTTGAGGCGCATGAAATTGAACGCTGCACCACTTAAACAAGTAAACAAAAATCGTGATTTAAAAGATTAAAAAGAGAGAATTTAGATTAAACAGTGCGTTTTTTTTAAATTACTGTAGAATTGTTACATCTGGAGTGGATTTGATTTTCCTGGACGTCACGGGCAATTCTGTGAACATGAATTTCCAATCTCAACCAACCAATGTTTCAATATAGGTCATGTCTTATACAAGAAGAACCTGTGTCCTTAATTTATGAAATTTGGCTCCAACAAATTAAAACAAAGTTAAAAAATTCAATCAAAAATTGTTAATTTCTGAAAATATGCTCAACAAGGGCAAACAGGTTTTGTTTAACCAACAAAGAAAAAGGAAAGAAAGAAAACAACAACAACAACAACAAAATACCGGAAATAATAACAAAGATAATATCCATTTGCTTTACATGATGGCCTTCTTAAGATTGAAATCTAAAACTGACAAATCTTTTCTATGTATGCATATTATATCGTTACTTGCATAGTTGTAATGATTTTTTATGTCTCCCGTAATCGAAGATTCATTAATTGATATGACGCAGCTGTAACAAGTACCACGTATTCCTTACAAGGAGATTGATAATCAGCAAGTGTAAAATTAAGATATATTCTAATGTTTAATCTTTTTACGTACGAAGTAGCCAAAAATGTACGAAAAAGTCACGAGTAAATTAACTAAATGTGCATTTATTTTGCTTTCAGAAATGAAAAAACAAACCTTACTTCCATATAGAAAACTTGCTTTGTACATTATGAAAGCCAATATCACAGAGTAAATGAATTAAAAATATATACTACAAAATATAAATATATATACTACACAGATTATATGATATGAAATGAAATAGGTGAAGATAACGAACAAGTGATGGATCTCCAAAAAAATATACAAATCTGTGAACAGGGCATATTTAACCCGGACCCCCAGAAATTCCAGAAGTATATGTAGTCCATTGCGTCATGTACCTTTAAATGGTTACATTTGAAGATTTGGACAGTCCTAGAAAAAAATTAAAAAAATCCCAGGGTCTCTGTCTGTGCTGATCTTCAATTAGTAGGTCTTGGCTAGCATAAAAATGAATGCCTTAACGACTCGAATCATGTCTATTCAGGCAGATTGAAGAGACCTATTACACCGGAACTAGTTCCTCGAGATATACGATCCCTACTTTTTTCCCCTCATGAGGTACTGTTGTGGAAGAGACTTGTCTTAATTATGATGGATTCCCTCGAAACACAAACAACTGATGTATAAAAAAATTCCGAGTGTACATTTTAATCTGACCCAAGGCCTTGGTCGAAAAATTCAGTGATAAATGTTTTCATGACCATCTATGATTAACATCGAACGATTATTACAGAAACTTTAAGACTTAAAGCATTGATGAAAATAAAAATTAGTGATATGTATTTTTTGAGCAAACATGCAGTATCAATTATGACAGACTGATCATATCCTTTTCTCTTTATTTTTTGTCTTTATTTAAGCTTAATGCAAATGATGTAGAATAATGATATTCAAGATAAATAGTACCAATCCGAAGGAAACCGAAATCTTGAATATTTGGTCAGTACAATTTGTTATTAAACAAATTTTTCCTGTAAAGATTATATTTACTGCAGAATTTATATAAATCAAAATAATAATTCATTTTGTGGAGTAACAATTTAGCACTGTTCATGTACATAGAGAGAGTGTCTCGGCTACTGTGACCTTTCGTTGCACAGCAGTAACACACAGTCAAACAGATTGAAACAACATGCAATCACAAGCCTCCTATAGTTTTAAATAATACGAGAGAGAGAGAGAGAGAGAGAGAGAGAGAGAGAGAGAGTTAAGAAATACCTGGTATTTCAACGGAAGGTCGTTTGACGTTGAGTGGTGACGTGGGTTCCGATAATCCCCCTCCCCCGGGCCGGAACTCCTCGGAGGATCCCCTCTCTATTCTCCTCCCTAACGTGGTCTGAGTTGGCACAGTGAAGGGGATTTGTTTCATGCTACAAGGAAGAAGTATCATAGAATGATAGCGCCTCATCGCCAAATCACCGTGAAGTCCACACATGTCACAAAATTAAGTAAAATCTTCAGTGAAACATTCTACGTAAAACTGTCTCAGACTTCACTGAAGCTATCTTGTAAACATGTTTTAATTCTTATTCATGTTTTTTCTCTGAATCAATACTACAATAATCCTGTTTTAATATGCTTTAGAATTCCAGCCGGCAGTGGGAGAGGCGCACGCTGTGATGTTGCGAGTGTTCGCTACAGTGGTCCTAATCGAACTGACTGCGGACACAGGGAAGCTCTCACAGGACAGGAATTCTCTGTATATACCAGGGAAAAATTAGGTTAGCTTGACCTCCATATAAAAAAAATCTAACGACCAATTTCTCATCCGTCCAGTAGTCAACGGACTCCAATGTTTAGTTTTAGCAGACATGACGGCTAGAGTAGGTTGTATTTATTCTGTGATAGGTTCAAACACAGCATTTGATACTTCCGTGAAAAAAATATGAAAATGGATGCGTTGATTTGAGTAAATGTTTCCATATCAGAACATCATCAGCGAATTCAATTAATCGGAAGCTGATTTTTCCCTGGTGACACGTCCGCGGAATGTCGTCTGCGTTGTGTCACGATTTCACTTAATGCTACGTTATGAATATATAAATAACCTGTTACAAAATAAATGTCAGAGATATTTCTACCAATGATTTTTTTTTTACATCTATTAAAACTATAATCGTTCTCTGCCCTATACCTGGAGACAGAACACTCAAAGTACATACATCAGGGAAACAATAGTGATCTAGGTGTGTCAAGACGTGTGAAGACGCCACCACTTGCCGGAGGAGAGCTGGAAATTTAGACCTGTACTCGGCACTCAGGGCCATTGAGCAGTGAGGGATCTTTATCGTGCCAGCACCTAAGTAAGTACCGCGACACGGGACCTCAGTCTCCACGTCCCGCAGTGGGATTCGAACACGAGACTTTTAAAACGATCAACTCCTTACTCCGCGACTCTTAGAGCAAACGTTCTAACCACTGCACCACCACATTTATTTTAAGGGTTCAACTATAATTTCAAAAGAAAAGAGGCAAAAAAATTACAATAGAGTAGAAAAATAAATTTATATAAGAAATAACACAAATGATGAAGGATATAATACTTTTAAACATTTTAACTATAACCGCATTTCAGTTTTCCTACATGTATCTACAAACATCACACTAATTTTCAGAGTTGTGCCGTTTTAGAACTATATACCCGGTATTCTTTCCACAAAAATATAGACTTCACATCCATTATTTGAAATTAAAGGATATATATTAAGCCAGTTAATTCAAAGAATGGGTATGTTAATTGTTTTAGTAAACATCCTGGGTCCAAAGAACTGAGTTTGTTACTTAATAATAACCATTAAGGTTTGCGACACTGCATACGACTGAAAACATGGAGTAAGATGATTTTCTGAAGATAAAATGATCAAGAGGTCCATGAAGGTCATCTCTTAAGTTCGATATGTCGATAAAAATATGTCCAAAATGCACACAAACTGAGAAAGGAAATCCAGCCCTGTGTAGCATGAAATTTAAGATTATTGAAAAGGATTTACTCATTATAATGCTGCCAGCATGGCTAGATGTCCATGAGAAAAGACTTAAAAATTTGAGTGAATTCTTAAATTTACTTGTATGAATAGTAAATAATGATTCCCTAATTCAAGGGGGGTGCATTGATTTCATGATCCCTGGAGGATAAATGCTCCTTATTACAATGTAAACAGTTTGACTGGTAGATGACCGGAAGTAGCTCCTTACTACATAAAAAAGTTTGACTGCTAGATGACCGGAAGTAGTTCCTTCTTACATAAAACAGTTTGACTGCTAGATGACCGGAAGTAGCTCCTTACTACATAAAAAAGTTTGATTGCTAGATGACCGGAAGTAGTTCCTCCTTATATAAAAACAGTTTGACTGCTAGATGACCAGAAGTAGCTCCTTGTTACAAAATAAACAGTATAACTGCTAGATTACCGAAAGTAGCTACTTACATGTATTATGACTGCTAGATGACCGGAAGTACAGAAGAAGATTGTCAAAGTTCAGGTTCGTTGCCAGATTGTGGAAAAGGGGTACGAATGAGGGTGTTGGAGGGGAACCCCCTCCTCTCAGCCCAAAAACGTATAACCTGTCACTATTTTGTTGTGTTCTGCTGCATTTCTTTAAAAAAAATTTCGAGTGTACTTTTCTAAAGGGGGGTCAATCGTACCCAATGCATCTCCTTCCGACGGCAATGTATTTTACAACAAATAACCAACTTAACCCCATTTGGAAACAGTGATCAATCTTATAAAGTTAGTAAAGAAAACCAATCGTGAACAGGGCAAGCAAGGACTCTTTGGAACACCAGAGGTGGGATCTAGTGCATAGGAGGAGTAAGTATCCCATGTCGAGTCGACCGGACACCCGCCATGAGCCTTTTGCACCGATGGCAGACGTAAAAAAATTCTTAATTTCAGTAGAAAATTCATTTCTCATAATCAAGAAAAAAGTCGCTTATTGTATGTGATTGATTGATTGTATGTTGTTTTACATCCTGTTCGAGATTTTTCACACATATACCGGTGAAGGGCTTCAAATTTAGGCCTTTACTCGGCACTGAGGGTCATTGAGCAGTGAGAGTTTTTTTTTTATCGTGCCAACGTCTACCGTGGTTTTTAAGGTCTCATCCGAAGGACCCGCAACTATCACTTCAAAGTGGCGAGCGCTTGGCGAAGGAACAGTTGCTACCTATTTTTTATCGACTTAGGTCAGTCGTGGCCGTGATTCGAAAACACGACCTTCCAATCACGGAGTGAGCGCTCTACCAACTGAGCTTATCTGACGGCTGTTGTACGTGAAGAAGTATAGAAGATATTTTGAAGATTGCATGAAAAGATGATTTTGGTCCGTCCTCTGCATGAGATGTCAGTAAACATCTGAGAGACTCAGATGACCTAAAAGCGCAGATCCCTCTGTGAGACTGACATTATCTCTCACTTGATTCTCTCAATTGACATTCATCTTATGACGTCACTGGAATTTATATATTTTAATAAAGTGTTATTTTTAACAAACCTTGAACGCTTATTAGTAACATGAATTAAAACCTACCACCTGGTTAGTCACAGATAACACGTCTTTAGAATATATTTTGATAACCAACTACATTACAAACAATACCCTCTATTAATCTGAAATGAATTGGTTAATTTTAGCAAATTAATAATGCCCGACCGCAATACTAACTGTTGTAGGGTATAATGTTAATATATTCAAAATTCTTTGAGTATAACTTCTGAACATTTATGATTAAGTAAAAAAAAAGTTAATGATTTAAATAAGAAACAAATCTGCATTAGGACATTTTAATTAAGATTAGTTATATGTGTCTCTGAGGCCGACAAACTCGAGCGCGTGCTGAAGACAGATGTATATTGCTTGTACTCCTCGCGTGTCAATTTCTACCAGATAACACGGACCTCACGTGGAGAAACAGACATGTTACTGACAGACCTATTTCCCAACAAACACAATGACGTCATCATATTTCAGGTCTTTGGTTGGTGATTACAATTTCTAATAATTCAGTAAAATGTGTCTATTGATGGAGTTTTGTTTCATTGAGGAGGGGGGAGGCCTTGATTTCCTTGCAACTGAAAATCATGGAATCATTCATGTTTAAGGACCCTCTAAACGCTTCACACTAAAGAATTCTAATTTTGTGGTATTTTTATGCAGTTAGAGTTATCTGTCCTTCGACTTAAAAAATGAAAGATGACACGTCTAAAATATGACCTAAGATCTTTAAGAGAAGGTCAAAGTAATAAAAGAAATGAAAGTTTGAAACCTAAGGGTCACAAGGCAATCTAATTAAAATCAGACTTCTTAGATCCGCGTCGTATACACTCTACCAAGGAGTGTATTCGCAAAGTGTATGCGGCACGGATCTATATAGGAAGTCTGCTTTTAACTAAACTGTGTCACAAGGTAGACAAATAAAATAAGGCCCATGCTTAGAAAATATCCTTGATCACGCTTTTTGCCAGGCTTGAGAAGATTACAGCAAATCCAATGTCACTTTGAAATTGATAAAAGTCTTAAGGTTTGTACAAATAAAAGAAGCAAGACGATTCATTGACAAAGTCACCGGGGTGGAGGGATAATAAACACATCCCAACAATGTAAGATTTTTGATGGAAATGACATTGTTTATGCTTTACTAAGTCCTTTCCGTTAACATAGAAAGCTATGCTGGAAGATACAATTACCGTACACACTCTTTGGTCAAAATACATGTAGTTATAAGGCATGTAGAATCGCTCGTAGTGTATAGGATTATTGAATAACCCTTTTTTTCCTTGTGGAATATTTTTTTTCCTGTTTCAGGAGAAACATTTACTCGATTCATCCACTTCCCGTCCCCTATTCACACCCACATATATTTCAAGTTTGTGATTACGCCATTAGAAAGGTTCCTGGATTGTAGGATGACAGCTACACGCCTTTCTTGGGACCAGTAAGGCCATTCGGCCTATTGTTCATAAACAGGTTTAAACCTAGAGTATTGTAGGCATGAACATATCAATGAATCCTGCATTTTATATTTTCATATGATCTTGCCAGCTCTTACGGCGTTTATTTCTTTTGTGTAATAAAGTGTTTACCGGTATCAATTTTAGTAGGTGATAACGATCAATTCCCTAATGTATATCAGCATTGTGTCACTAATTTCAAATTAGGGATAAAATGTACTTTAATCTATCCTGCAAAGCAAGTCAAAGTCTGAAAGAAAACTATATTCTTCCAGCCAGTTATTGTACGTATAAATCAAAAATGATTTGCACTTAAAATTTTATTGGATTTAAAAAAAAAAAGAGATATGCAATGGAGTGTTCACCTCACGGCAAAAAGTCTTAACGGCTTAAATTTGTTTCGTCTTCAATCTCTGTCA